CAGTTTAAACCTATATTACCTGTTGTATTCATGTCAGTTTAAACCTATATTACTTGTAATGATCTTCAACCCACGATTACATTTATTGCTTTCAAGATTTTCATGCTATTTTCTCGTATTACTTAGTTTGTTGTGTTAATTTTTATTTGTAGTTTCAATCCCTAAAAACTAAATAGATAAACTAAAAATAACTTTTTATGAACCATTTAGTAACAATACATAATCCACTTTATCAAAATAGTTGTTTTAAATTTTATTTTCACACTTTCATTGCTACTTTTAAACGATTTTATACATTATTTCACAAAACGCAAGTGAGACATACATTATCAATATTCTGTAATGTTTACAGAAGGTGATATGTCAGTATTGTACGTCACCTGATTAATCAGTATTGCTGAGATCATACTTATATATCACACTTTCTTCGACGACACACGTATTATTGTGATGTCATTTATAGTTTTATTGTACGCGACATTCCTTTACTGCTTTGTTGTGCACGAGGAAATCATTACATTAATCAATTCGATAGATTATGCTAGTGGTATGTCTTCGGACTTGCAACGCTAGAAACCGGGTTTCGATACCAGTGGTGGGCAGAGCACAGATAACCCACTGTGTAGCTTTTTGCTTAATTACAAACAAACAAACAAACAAACAAAGATTATGCTATATTTGCGTTTCTCAGGTATGGAGTCGCTTTGATTGGAATTGAAACAAGTGTTCGAGGAAATCGACCAATCATGCTCAACCCTGGACCGTCTTATATCATGAAGCCTACCGACATTTGCTTTTACATGAATATCACAAAGGAAGAAAACAGTGGCTTCCTCACTAGCGGTAGCGGAGGCAGTGGCCAAAAAAAATCCACAGAGGGCGCTAAACAAGATGCTCAAGAAGGGGGCAAGGGGATAACGGTATCGGATAAAGGTAAGATTTTTTTTTTAGGTGTAATTTTTACTAGAAGCAATCATTTCATACCATAAAAATTGTTCACTACAACTATGCAAGTAATTTATAAAATAACGACAATTCTCTTTCTTTGTTTTTAAAAGTAGAAACATATAATTCATATTACGAACCAATGAAAGTAAACTTTTTATGAACAGCTATTATATTATTATGAAAAATCCGATGAGAGAAAAAAATTAATATATAAAATAAATAGCTCACGAACTATTGATTACAATAATTGTTAAAAGGCGATTAAATCAGCACTATAAAACAATAATGAATTAAATATCGTATTACCGTTATTGGTCCTGGTTGTTAACTTATTGTCATAGCGGATAATGTCTGTGGTAATAGCACCCAAATGAATTGGGGGGATATCCCATCAGTCAGACAAAATCCAAACGCCGATGTCAATCTAGTCAGCCGTCATAAAAAAATCAATGAAATAAGGGTACGAAGCTGACTGAATTCCCACAACTGGCTATAGACAGGGAAAGGCAGTAGTGTGTTGTGGGTGTAGAACGCTATGTAAATGCTGATTTTTAAACAGTATTAAAGTACATGCGTAATGACATAAAATTCCATCTATAGCAAGTCATCATTACCCAGAAAGCCATATTCAGGTTTGGTTTTGTAAAGTAAATCACCTTCTATCAATTGTTTATTTCTAGACAGTCGAAGTCAGGATCTGTCATTACTAAAGTCTCGAATAGTCAAGGGATTCGGCAAGAAGCCCCATTTGGAGGTTCCTAGTATAAGGGCCTTGAAAACATCAGAGTCCAGCACTTCCAAAGAACGCCGTCCGAGTATAGGTCCAGTACCGGACATGCTGAAAGAGGGAGCAGAAACTGATGGAGAAACGGAAGAGGAAATAAAAAAAGAAGAAGAAGAAGTCCCCTGTAGCGCTTTATCGGAGAGCTGCAAGTAGGTTTAAACTGTCATAAATACAACAGAAGTAGTGATCTCTAACCTATCTTTCTCATGTTGTTTTCTTGGCTGTCATGTTGTTTTCTAACATGCTTTAGTTTTCCCCAACCTGTCTTTTCTCATGTTGTTTTCTCAGCTTTCATGTTGTTTTCTAGCATGCTTTAGTTTCTTAGTAGTGATCTCTAACCTACCTCCATATTTACTGTTTTCTCGGCTATCATGTTGTTTTCTAACATGCTTTAGTTTCTTAGTAGTGATCTCTAACCTACCTCCATATTTATTGTTTTCTCGGCTGTTATGTTGTTTTCTAGCGTGCTTTAGTTTCTTAGTAGTGATCTCTAACCTACCTCCATATTTATTGTTTTCTCGGCTGTCATGTTGTTTTTTAACATGCTTTAGTTTTCTATCACTACTAAGAAACTAAAGCATGTTAGAAAACAACATGACAACCGAGAAAACAACATGAGAAAAGATAGGTTAGAGATCACTACTAAGAAACTAAAGCATGTTAGAAAACAACATG